CGATAAGCTTTACACTCATAATAGAAGCTATTTTTATAAAAGCAAAAATGTTGTCAACATGCTCACAGTTACTGTAAAACACTTTTACTGCTTTCACCTTCATTTTGGTCTGTTGTTGCCACTTTAGGCTTAGTTTTTTCGTCAAGTCTTTTATAAATAAGAGCAGTCAAAATGTTTTTATTTATTTATTCTTTTTTTTTTTTTTGCTGTTTTATTTCCATCTAGAGTTCATCTGCAAAAACAGGTAACTCTGTTTTTAACAATTTTCAGAATTGTGCATTCCAGTTAATCTCGATCGAACTGCAGTTGAGCTATTTTGATTAAGTAAAAAGAACTAAAGAATACAGCTAACTAACACAATAAAAACATGATTTTTTTTACATCTGTTTTTTGCAAATAAACTCTTCAAATGCAAATTAGACTACTGTAAACTTTATTTCCGGATTCCCTTTTTTAGAGATTAAAGGGGTCATATGATGTTGCTAAAAAGAACATTATTTTGTGTATTTGGTGTAATGAAATGTGTTTATTTGGTTTTAGGTTAAAAAAACACATTATTTTCCACATACTGTACATTATTGTTTCTCCTCTATGCTCCTCCTTTCTGAAACGCGTCGACTTTTACAAAGTTCATCGGTCTGAAAAGCGAGGTGTGCTGTGATTGGCCAGCTATCCAGTGCGTTGTGATTGGCTGAATACCTCAAGCGTGTGACGGAAATGTTACGCCCCTCACCATACTGTGATGATGCCCTGTCCGGCCGGAGCGACGAGACAAAAACATTAAAACCCATTATAAACGAGGCATTTGTTGCATCCAGTGGGGACATAATTACTGATTATAATGACTTATACTGTCTTTTTACGCGTTACATTGCATCGCGCCGCGTAAACATAAAACCATGTCTGCATTTGTGATCGGAGAAATGACAAACAACAAGCCCTACTCTACACTGCCCAAAAAATTTGCTTTAAATATATAAAATATAAAAACCCTTTAAATATAAAAAA